CGAGGATGATGCGGATAGACTCGAGGTTGGCGACGGAGCAAAGACCTCTTTGTAGTCAACCCCTTCCTTCTGGGTGAACCCGCGGGCGACAATGCGTACCTTGTACCGCTCAATGTTGCCGTTCTGGTCGAACTTGATGCGCAACACCGGTTTGGACGTGATGGGTTTGACATCGGTTGGAGTAGGCACGACCTCGTAGACGTCATTGTCGATAAGGTTCTGGAGCTCCTCCTGCAGGGCTGCAGCCCACTGGGCGCCGTCAGGGCCACTGAAGGCATCCTTGAGGTTGTCTGGCAGCTCGTCGTTGGAGTGCGGGCCCGTGCTGGCAAAACCTGCAAAGAGCGCGGCATCGACGTCAATCCACTCGCTTGCCGGTGCGTCCGCAGGTGGTTGAGCAGATGGCAACTCCGTGGGAGGCTGTGCTGCATTGCTGGGAGCGGCCTCTGGCGCAGCTGGCTCAGGCGTTGAGACAGGTGGTGCTGCCTTCTTAGCCTTGGACTTTTCGCGTTGCTCGCGCTGTTTCCGTTCAGCCTCGGAGTAAGCGGCATTACGATCCGGGGCTGGTTTTGGAGCGCGTTCTGAGCGACGGACACCTGCGACGACCTTTGCAGGCGAGCCCCATGGTACCCTGGCTGGAGTGGGCTTGGACTTTGGCGCAGGTGCAGGCGCTGCTCGAGACTTCTTCTGCCGTTGTGGTTGCGAAGGGGACGTCTGAGCTGGTGCAGATGCAGGTGGTAAGGCCGCTGACACAGGTTCGACCTTGGGTGTCTTCAGCTGCGGGATGAGCGAGGGGCGTGACTTCCCTTTGCGAGGTGCAGGTGCTGGCGTGGCAGGCTCAGGTGGTTGCGTTACTCCCACTGAACCTGGACTAGGTGCATCCTCGTCATCGCTGACAAGGCTGGCTGCACGGTCCTCGTCGTCACTGTCGCTGGTGCTACTTGCTGCAGGACGTGCTGGAGCAGTCTGTGCGGTTTGCGGCTGATCCTCCCACTGACCCTGAGTAGGATCCTCCGTTTCGCTGACCGCTTTGAGCTGCTCGGGAAGTTGGCCTTTCTCGTTGAACGCAACGTGGCGGCTGGAAAAGATGGCACGTGTGTTGACGTCCATGAGCGTGTAGGCCTTCTTGCCAGGGGTGTACCCAAGCATGATGCATTTGCGTCCTTTTGGTGCGAACTTCCCTTGGCGCTTGTCCTTGGGAATGAGGGCATAGGCGGGGCAGCCAAACGGACGGAACAGGGAAGGGTCGACTCGACG